AGTGAGACATCAAATAGAAGACCTGATGCCTAAGCCATGCGATGAGTTCAACAAATGGAGAAGATTTTGGACGGTTTGTCGCGGATTCAAGAGCTCTGAGTCGATGTTTTGTGAGAGACATAAATAGACAATATTTGCGTTCAGTTTCGCCACTTTGTGTGTGAACTGAGTTTCATTCAAATCGCTTATAAAGAATTCACTGAAATATGCAAACATTGAAATTAATATTGAGATCATTAGCGGACAAGTGCTGACCTGTAAAGCAGTCGTTTAGGAAGTCTTATATCCAAATAGAAGGCAATTATATTGACGAGTTGTGTGATGTATGCCAGCGCTGCACACGTCCTATACTTTGCATTTCTGAAACTGGAGTCTCTATTCAGATAATCCCTTTCATTAGTCGCTGAAAATATAGATATAAAAGTCATTTAACCACAAAATGTTTGCAATAATTAGCAACCAATGAATTACCGAACAAAGCGTATGCAGAATAATCTCCATTTCCACAAATCCATGGCTCGACTATACTATAGTTGATTGGAGTGTTCAATGGAGAGATGGTTTCGAGCAGAGGAGTAGTCTCTGAGTTGAGTATTGAGTGGCGATCACTGGTGTCGGGGATCATGTCTTTGGTTTCGATGGGAAAGATATATGTCGTCAACTGTTTGACCCTTTGCTGAACCAATTCCTTGATGTAAGAGTCGTAACTGTCTTTGGACTCCATGAGTCTTGTGATACCGTTTTGGCGACGACTCAGGAACTGCTTGGCGTCCAGAACTTTGGCCTCAAGTTTGTGGTGACGCTCTTTGCACTCCTCTTGATTGCATCGAGTCTTCCGCAGATGACTCTCACTCGAAGACAACTTCTGTCTGGCTTTCGACAGATTGCTCCTCAAGTGGTCGACATTGGCCTCCAAGAGTCGGATCTTATACTCCTATCAGACAATTAGTAAGCAAAACATGGTATGAGTTGTGGTGTGGAATGACATCTCAAGACAATGCCTACCAATTCGTCTTTGATGACCAACTCATTCATGTGGTGATCCATGCGATCACTGATCAACTGTTGTTCACATTTCAATCGGAAGTATTTGAGCTTTTTTTCAGCAAATCT